AGTCTGCGAGATGTTTTCCTGTCGGGATGTGTTGAGTAATCACGACCGAATCATCACAGTGGTCTCGGATGTCGGGTTGAGATGGTTTTGCCACAACCAAGTTTGTCAGAGGCGGACCCCAGCTGAGTTGTGATGTTGTGTACCTACCGCATCGGCACAGATCCAGCGAGCCGTCATCAGCATGATTGGTTCAATCTCCCTGAACACACGGAATCACCGGGCCAAGCATGCGGCGTCCTTCCATAGGACGGGGCGGATGTAGCTGGGAGCGTAATGTGCGCCTGATGCCAGGAGCACTTCAAGAAGACACCTCATCAGGAAGCCCAGGTTTCCATGAAGGCCAAAACAGAGGCGGGGCACAAGCTTCATTTTTGCGCCTGTAGGTGCAGGGGTTGGAGTCTAAGGTTTGAGGGCGCATAGGGCTTGAGGATTTGAGGCTTCTGCAGCTATGAACATGACATATCCCTCAGGAGGTGTCTCATCGCGGGCAATGCGCAGCACTGGAAGCCCGGCAGAGGGTAGGCCAGAGCCGCTGTTGACACCTTTTGCTGGGATGACTCTGGGAACGGGTGGGTAAGATACTTCAGGAGCTTGGCTTGCAATGTTTCAGACAGGTTTGGACAGAGAGTTAAGGAGTTCAGGTGGCTCCAGCCAGTTCATTATATGTATATATATAATACTATAATATAGTATTATATATATATGACAACTATATATATATATATATATGCATGCACAGCGATTGTTGATTCCAGGTGAAGAGATGGAAGACATCGCGCAGCGCGTGGTGGTGGCCAAGGAGCAGCTGGTGAAGATGCGAGCAGCATCCACAGCTATGCCGATTGCAGCACTCTGGATTTCAGTTGGGTTTGCAGACATTGCCGTCCAGTCTCAAGTATGAAATCCAGGCGATGAGGTCTTTGATGTGAATCGAGGGTCAAAGTTTCAGCCGTTTCCTTTAACTTGGCTGTCCAGAATTGGTGGGAGAACTCCGTCGCCGATGCACCGGCTCAGCAAGCGTGAAACCAGCACAGGCCATAGGGCCATAGGCGCCAGTCGAGACTAGCAGCCTAGCACACAGGAAGAGCGAGATTTGCATCTTACCTGCGACGAAGGTGAAGTGCAGCGCGAATGTCAAAGAGCTGACCGGACGATTCGAGGTTCGGGGGCTCCTTAGCCATGTTGTGCTGCCGGTGTGCTTGGCATGATCCAGCTTCTTTGGCAAAGCAAGGTCTCTGAGGCCCAACATCAGGAACCCTTGAGCTTCAGGAAGACCCCGAATCGAGTTCTGCCAGAGGATGCAAAGTGCATCTACGAAGCAAAAGTTCGCGAAGTCGCCGAGCAAAATGAGGCTCACGACTCCCGTGCGGTCAGGTTTTGGGCCGTTCGGACTTGGAGAAATGAAGGCTTTGGCCGGCAGTTGGGTGTCACGGATGGGATCGACGAGATAAGGCATCACGACTTCAGCGTCTGCTGCATCTTGAGGAGTTGCTCCAGCGTCTCGCCGTGATTCGGGCCGAGCACGAGGATCATTGCAACGAGAGCAGAGCACTCGGACGGCACACTTCTTGTCCGGCCGAGTCAGGCGTGAAGGATTGCTGGCACGGACACACAGGGAAAGAGAGGCAGGCAGACATGATCCATATAATTGTTGTATATATATATATATACATTTATAATTATTTATAATACTATATTATAGTATATATAATGGCATAATGTGTCTTTGTCTCCGGGACGTGCCCGCGCACACACTTGTAGAGAGGCGCCAGTTTCCTGCACCAGAGCCTTTGGGACTTGCAGCCGATGCTTAGGCTTGCAAAGAGACAGCCAGCTGCAGCAGGCAGGGCTTGTCGTGGAGTTCTGCTAGACTGCAGGATAAATCAGAAGTCTAGGCCTCTTAGGCCCTGGAACGAAAGAGCTATAAACAGTAGGAGCCCAAAAACCCTACAGAAGCCTAAGCCCTAACCCCAAACCCTAAACCCTGTAACCCTATATTCGCCTACAACTACCTATAACTCGGTAGGCCACAAATCCCCTAAACCCTAAAAAAACCAAGCTTAAGAAGTGTTTGGCCCTCAGGGCTGTGGCTGACCTCTGCGGAGAGAAAGTCCCAAAGCACCTTTAAAAACAACTTAAACCCCAAACCCTAAACCCTAAATCCCTAAACCCTAAACCCTAAACCCTGTATCTGTATCTGTATCTGCAAAGAGAAACCCTTAAACCCTTTTAAAAAAAGCCAAGCTTTGGTAGACCCAGGAGCGGCAGGGCGTGATCCAGCAGATCGCCTCGCGCTCCCAGGAGCTGAGCCTCTCCCGCGCGGTGCGCCGTAGGGTTTAGGGGTTTAGGGTTTAGGGTTTGGGGTTTAGGGTTTAGGGTTTGGGGTTGGTTTAGGGTTTAGGGTTTAGGGGGTTAGGGTGTAGGGTTAAGGGTTTAGGGTTTAGGATTTAGGGGTTTAGGGTTTAGGGTTTAGGGTTTAGGGGTTTAGGGGTTTAGGGTT